TGGCCGTTGTGGCCATCTGGGGAGTGAACCACCAGGTGGAAGATCCCTCTCTCTCTCTCTCCAATTTTTTTAAAATGAATAAATTCTTTCTTCAGATTTACTTTTTTTTTTTTTTTTTTTTTGGATAGGCAGAGTGGACAGTGAGAGAGAGAGAGAGAAAGGTCTTCCTTTTTTGGTTGGTTCACCCCCCAGTGGCTGCTGCTGCTGGCACGCCGTGGCCGGCGCAACCTGCTGATCCGAGGCCAGGAGCCAGGTGCTTCTCCTGGTCTCCCATGCGGGTGCAGGGCCCAAGCACTTGGGCCATCCTCCACTGCACTCCCGGGCCACAGCAGAGAGCTGGACTGGAAGAGGAGCAACCGGGACAGAATCCGGTGCCCTGACGGGGACTGGAACCTGGGGTGCCGGTGCCGCAGGCAGAGGATTAGCCTATTGAGCCACGGCGCCGGCTAAGTTTCAAAGTTTTAAAAGTCTGTTTAAATATGGACTTGTTTTACATGTCAAGCATAGAAAGCTAAGACACTGTGGCAAAAAATGTTCTACGTGAAGGATCTCCGTGAGGCCCCAGTGGAAAGAAGCAGCCATCAAAAGAGGATGTACTTTTCTCTAAAGGGAGGAGAGAACTTCCACTTTGCTTATGGCCTTGTCCAAATACTGAGAGTTGTGGACTCAAAAGGCTTCCTTAACCTATGCAGCTCATGTCAAGAGCCTCAGGTGGTTACTGACGTCATAGATAAAACAAATTAACACTCTTAAGATTTCTTTATTTGAAAGTCAGAGTTAGAGAGGTCTTCCATCTGCTGGTTCACTCTCCAATTGGCCGCAATGGCCGGAGCTGTGCCAATCTGAAGCCAGGAGCCGGCGCCCACGTGAGATGTCGGCGCTTCAGGCCAGGGCGTTTACCTGTTGCACCAGAGCCAGCCCCATTAATTTTTTTTTTTTTTTGTCTTTTCTTTTCTTTTTTTTTTCTTCCAACAGGCAGAGTGGACAGTGAGAGAGAGACAGAGAGAAAGGTGTTCCTTTTTGCCGTTGGTTCACCCTCCAATGGCCGCTGCAGCCGGCGCACCGGGCTGATCCGATGGCAGGAGCCAGATACTTATGTGCAGATTGTGTGTCTATATAAAAATTATTAAAAACTGCTAAATTAACACAAATTACCTTTCTGGTGCACCTGACTTAAATAAATATGATAAATAGGCTGTTCTCAATTTGTTGGTACAGAAAAACTAAAAAAAAATTTTTTTTTAAGTTATTGACATGTTTGCATTTGGGTCTGCTGGTCAAACAAGTTGCACTTGTGTTAGGTATTTGCAACCATAAAGGTATACTATTTATCTAAAAACAATATAGCCGGCGCCGCGGCTCACTAGGCTAATCCTCCGCCTAGCGGCGCCGGCACACCGGGTTCTAGTCCCGGTCGGGGCGCCGGATTCTGTCCCGGTTGCCCCTCTTCCAGGCCAGCTCTCTGCTGTGGCCAGGGAGTGCAGTGGAGGATGGCCCAGGTGCTTGGGCCCTGCACCCCATGGGAGACCAGGAAAAGCACCTGGCTCCTGGCTCCTGCCATCGGATCAGCGCGGTGCCCCGGCCGTGGCGGCCATTTGTGGGGTGAACCAAGGAAGGAAGACCTTTCTGTCTGTCTGTCTCTCTCACTGTCTCTAACTCTGTCAAATAAATAAAACAGATTGAAAAGTCTGAGAGCCAGGCCTCCTTGCAAGGAGTCAGCGGCTTCGGGGGGGTGTGACGCTCTGGTCGGGTGAATCCACAGAACACAGACACCACCCATCCCCCTCCTTCGCGGCGCCCCTCCCCATCCCACACCCTGGCTCCGGTTTGTAAACTCCCTCCTCCAGCGCCTCCCCTCCGGCTTCCTCGGGAGCCCTCCCTGCACCTCAAGTCTCCAAGGTGGAGGCCCATGCCCGCCCCGGGGACCAGGACACCCGCGTGAGGAGAGGGCGGCGGGGGGTGGGGGGGGGTCCCAGAAGCCGAGCCCCGAGGGCGGCGGGGGAAGGGCGGGAGCCAGGTCCAGGGTTCCCCGCGAGGGCCCTAACCTAGGGCGGACGTGGGCTGGGGTGTGCGGGGCACCGACACACCTGCCAACGTGCCCGAGTCAGGAACGCACACCTAGTACGGGACAGCTCGCAGCAACCGCCCTCCGGGGTCGTCGGGAACACGCGCCCCCTTCTGAAGCGACCCCCACCCGCACTCCAGCCTCCCGCCTGCACCGACCCGGGCCCGACCGTCCGTGCGCGGGCCGCTCGCTCACCTGCAGCACCAGGACCTGGAGCATCTTCGCCGCGCCTCTGGCCCGCTCGCCCTGGACCACGCGCCCGGCGGCGGGCGTGGCGGGCGTGGCGGGCGTGGCGAGCCGCGCGGCCCCTGCCATCGCGCCGGACGCCTCAGGCCTCTGCGGGGGCCGCGCCCACCAGCTCGACCGGGACTCCAGCTTCCTGCCCTGGACGCCCCCCGCCTGCAGGCCGGCCGCCACGCCCCCCAGTGCCGCGCCTCGTCTTCCCACCCGACGCCGCCGCCGCGGGCGCGCTCTGGGCTCCTCGTCGGCTCCACCCCGCGCCCCCGGCCTCTCGTAATGGCGCCCGCCCCCGCGCCGGCCTCCAGGCGTCCAGAAGCCACGTGGGCGCCCAACGGCCCCGGACAACGGCCGGCCTTGCGCAGCCTTCCTGGGCCGCGGGGCGCCCGGGGGCTTGGGGACCTGGGCTGGCCTCCCCGCCGGGAGCGCGCGGGGCCTGCTGGGCTGTCCACCCCCAGCGTCCAGCGGGCCGCGCTCCCCAGGTCTCTGTGCGGGGCTTGCTTGTCTTAGCGGAAGTGTGCACGACCCCGTCCTCTGAGTGGGCCGGGGTCTGCAGCTCCTGTGACTGAAGCAGCCACCAGAGTTCTCACTTGGAAGGCTCTGTCCCTGCACCCAGAAGAAGCTCCTGGCTTCTGATTGGCCCAGCTCTGGCCATCTGGGGAGTGAACCAGCTGATGGAAGACCTTTCTCTCTGTCTTTCCCTCTCTCTCTCTAACTAGCACTCAAATAAATAAATAATATTTTTTTAAAAAATGAAAGAAACCTCGACACCCCTCCCCCCCAATCCTGGGCCAGGAAGCTTTTACAGCTGAATTCCTTGGGGGGTGGGGGTGGGCGCAAGGTTTCTTAAGCTCTATGTGGAAATAACAAAATAGTGGAAGACCAGATTAGAGAGAGCATGGGAATTGTTAGGTTCTGTACTGGGAGAGCAAGATGTTCAGGTAAGCCTCTAGTTTTAAAAAATAAGCTCGACTCTCTCTGTAACTGACTTTCAAGTAAACCTTTAAAAAAATAAAAATTCAAGGGAAAAAAAAAAAGCTTGATTCTACAGGCCCCACAGGTGTGTGCTTGACGTCCCCCCAGGAGGACCTTGGGAAAGGACAGGTGTGCGCCTGCGAGTCAGGCAGGAAGCTGCTGGTGGGGAGCGTGGTGTTCACCTGGTGCTGGGGGGCGGGGCGAGGAAGCAGGCTACATACCTGGCAGGCCAGCACACCTGTCGACAGGTGAGAAGTGGAAGGTCCCGAGCCTGAAAGGAGGTGGAGAACACGGGCAGGCGATGTGCCAGCGCGGTGGCTGGAGCCCCTGCGTGGGGTGTCCGTCTGCATTTGCGTTCAGTTTCCTGCGATGTGCAGGAGAAGCAGCAGGGGAAGGCCCAGGTGCTGGGTTCCTGCCACCCACGTGGGAGATGCAGCAGTAGTTCCTGCTTTCAGCCCAACTCGGCCCTGCTACTGTGGGCAGTAGGGGAATGAACCAGTGGATGAAAGATTCTCTCTCTCTCTCCCTGCCTCCCTCCCTCCCTTCCTCCCTCCTGCTCTCTCTCTCTCTCTCATTTTGCATTTCAAATATATAAAATTTTTTTAATGAAGAGTGCAAGGGACAACCTTTGTCTTTTTTTCTTTGATTAACTCATGCTGCAAAAGGTGATCCTGAAACATTGTCACAAACCTGCTTCCAGAAAGTGGAACTATTTGTACATCACAGTGGCCTTACCAAGCCCAGGGTCTTTGGCTCACTTGCAGATAGAAATTGACAAGGGGCCAGTATGCAACCCAGAAGGGTTTATGGG